AACCTTAATGGAGGGGAACCACTGGTCTGCACAGTTTGACAGGAGCCCAGAGGAGAGCACGGACTCTTCCAGTCTAACGCTGACATCTTGTGGCTCAATCAAAGCACTACCATCAACTCATTTGGCTGTGATTAAAAGCAGCAACTAAAGTGTCAGTTCTTCCCTTTCTCCTCTCTAGACTGAGCCCTGCCTGGTGGCCGCAGCCTGTCGCAGCAGCAGCTCTCTGGCCAGATCCGGCCTGCCGCTCTTGGCCAGGCAGCGGGCGAGCTGGGAGGTCTTGGGTTGGTGTGGGACGGCGGGCAGCCCTCTCCTCCACGTGGCCAGGATCCGGAAGGCCCGGGAGGACGGGCTGTCCCCGGCCCGGAGCTTCACCAGCTGGGCGGTGCTGCGACGGAGACGCAGGGAGAGCGCCAGCAGGGATAACTCCTCCTCCGAAAGCTCCCCGGACAGCCAGAGAAGAAGGGAGTCAGGCAGGGAATCTGGTGAGTGGAAGTAAGAGTTGTCTTTTGCAATGAAAATACATTCAAACCTTTAACACCAAAAACAGAAAAACTGGAAACAAATGTGGGAAATTAGTAATTTTAGGGCCAATATGGTGTTAAATTGAGACAAAATTATGTGTAACATCATCAAAGAAGTGTGTGTAATATAAGATTATTAATTGGAATAGCAAGAGTGACAGTGATGGTTGACGTCGACATAATTTACTTCAACAAAAGCAGTAATACAATCATGTGAAAACACTCTGTTAAGGGAATAACTCGTGATACTTAGGTACTATTACTCAAATGTGTCAAATTGCTGTTTGCAGTGCAGCAGACTTAACCTACTTTCAATTAAAATCTTTAAAAACTGCTCTAAAATGAGTTTCCCCAGTTGATTTTTGCGACATTTGCAGTCCCTTCCATTGAAAATGAACCTTGCTGGGAAATCAGCACGTGTCGTCTGAAAAATTCTAATTAAAATATGCAAAGTAACCAGAAACTATAGAGGTCAGCAGCGCAAGACAGGATTCTGAAACCACTGAAGAAGTCAAAAATGATTGATGACAGCGGCGTGTTTGAGTTGATGCTGCAGTAATTGTCAGAGACGAGGACAAATGCAGTAAGAGGACAGCCTGATACCCACCGGTCTCCTCACACGGCTTCAGTCTGGGAGCAATGGGACGATTGTTTCGCACTTTCTGAAATGAAACGGAGCAAATCAGTAACGACAGGATGCTCTCTTGTTGTAACCATGAAGTGTGAAGTCTGTGAACGCTGCTGCACCTTGGGTAGAGTCAGAGACAGCTTACAAACAGGCTCTCCCAGGAGCTTTGTCTCCTTCAGCACAGCTTCATCCCCTCGCCACTCCAGCTGACCTTTGGTGACCTTATAAAATATGGCCGTCCCCTTGTAGTGAGGAGAGCTGTAGTTTCCAAACGGGTCCACTTCAGTGAGACGCACTAGGAGCTGATTCTTCCTCTGACTGTGAAAGGTGATTCGCTCTTCGTTTTTGTTGTCGGAAACTGCAAAACATCATCAATGTGATCAGTGGTGTGATGCAGTTATATGATACCAATATCTGACTGCATCGTCTTAAATGCCACTTTGCAATTGTAATATTGAAGAAGGTGTTTTTAAAGTTTGTTTTTCTCATTTTGGAATCTCAAATTTAATCAGAACCTTGTTTATACAACAAATGATCGTCGGCATATTATTAAAAGTAAAATAAAAAATCACACAAGTGGGAATTAATCGAGCAACCATACCTGAGATCCTACTGTACAAGAGTTATACTGGCTGCCTTTGCAAACATATCATTACATCCACTTTATTATTGTGTTGTCCGTGGCAACCAGCAGCAGGAAGAGAAGCCTGCTCTAATCTGAAAGAGGTATTTCTAACTTTCTGACAGCCTTTTACTTTCATTGTAGCCTCAAAAACTTGAGTTTTCTTTTCATTAAACTAGATTACATACCGGTTGCTCTCAAGCAGATAAACTGTCGTTATGAATATTCTGTTAAAATGACCCTAAAAAGTCGGTTTATACTAAATGTGAAGGAGGCCAGAGTGTATCGTCAGCAGCATAATGTCCAAAATAATCCAATATAATGTATTATATCTAAACCAACATTTTCTTAGCTGGATGACACACAAAGGCTGAGTTCAGGCTTTTAAGGAAGTGGTGTCAGATGTATGTAACCAACAGTGTGACGTCATCAGCAAAAATGTGTACGCACCTGCAGAACAGGACTGAAGTTGGGGCTGAACAGTCAAAAAAAAAAAAATTGTTTACTTTTACTTTTCCTTGACCTCAGTGGAAAATGTCATGATCGAGGAAATGTTTGAAGAATAAGACAACCGCAGTGCTATGAGAGTTCAACCACACTTCCTAATAATCACGCAACAGTCGATGATCCTGTCATAAAGGATGCACCATTGTATCCGATGCTGCAGGAGATTTAAAAAAAAAAAGGAAGCATTTATTCTTGAGTACCAACTTGTGCTTCCCTCTCCGCCATCAGTCAGGATCTTTCACTTAAATGCGCCTCGAACTAAGAGGAGAGTTTAATATGAGCTTAGAGCAAGGGAACACAGACGTCTCCTGGAAGTCTTTCATCAAGCGCTGTGACAAATAAAAACTTTGTAGTCGTCAGTTTGATTTGACAGGTTTTACGGCTGTGCAGCACATCACAAGTAAGTGGTGTCACTTACGAAACACAAAGGAACTTTTCATTCAGCACCTTCATAGCATCTTGTTCCCATCCTGGATGGGAGGAGCTAAAATGTGAGAAAGAAAAGCGAGAAGACACCAAAAGCACCCTCAGAGAATTTGACCAGCCCTTATGGCTGCCACTTAAACTTCATTTCACTGAGTTAGAAACCTTCCTCTACAAAAACATTATTTGGCCGCAACCCATAAGTCATGAAATAGTGAACTGAATGCTAACATCAGCATGCTAACACACTTTAAAGTGCAAGTGAAGACACTGACAAAAAGCAGGCGTAATGTTAGCCATGTTTAGCATCTTAGATTAGCATGTTCTTCATCATTGCTGCACTGGCCACCTTAAAGCCGCAATTGTACATAAGTTTGATTTTATTTTATTATCTTTATTTTATTCATCTTTGCACTTATTTCACGCAACGAACCGAGACCTGTTTCGTTCTATCATGTCACGTGGTTAGAATGACAATAAAGTTGAGTCTGAGTCGAGCATGCTAACATCGGCTAATTAGCATTTAGCGCAAAGTGCAGCTGAGGCAGTAGACGGGACTAAAATTGTGCCAAACCAATAAAACAAGAATGCTGAGATGTTTTACTGGATTAATAAAACAGGAATTCATGGTCCAGATTCATGGCCGTGCCAACAGGGGAGCTTAAGGGGGTTCCAAAGAGGGACTTTGGATGCTAAAAATGCATTGCATATTCAAATGTGACCAAGAAGTGAACATTTTGATCATAGCGTACGTTCGTTGTGGCACAACTAAACTTAAAAACAGGGAGTCTTGAAGGCCAAAAGACAAACTACAGTGGAGAATGGAGACAAGATTTCCCGCCAAAGAGCTGCCGTCCTTTTTTTTATAAAACATTTTGTGAAGGTAGTGAATTACTTTTTCCTTTTTTATGCATCTGATATAGTTTTTTCTGAGCACATGGCCATTTTTTTCTACAATAGAGAACTGTTTTGATAAGCCACCCTCGGTCTACCTGTGGAGGTGATGTTCCCACTGAAACGCAGGAGAAGCTGATCGGCTTCACACATAGAAATCTCCGGCGAGGTCTCCGTGAAGCCTCGGCAGCCCCGAGCCCGCAGTCTGTTCAGCTCCCAGCCGAGGTCTCTGCTGGGCAGGGCAGCCACCAGAACAGCGTGAGGCTCATCTTCTCGCCGCTGGAGGACGACGGTGACGGCGTGGCAGCACACCGACTCCTCCAGCTGCTCCGCCAGAGAGGCGAGATGACAAGGCTGCAGCGGGGAGATGAGACGAACCACGAGCAGCCTGATGGAGGGAAAACTTAAGCAGTTTAGCTCCACGGTAAAGATTAGATTGTTGCTGAATAGTGGAAGGAGTCTGTTATCAAGGGGCCGGAATACAGAAGTAATACACTTAAGACAGAATAAAGAATTCATAAGAACCTCCTGTGCATATATTATTCCCTGAGGAAGCAGTTTTTAGATAAGAAAGAAGAAGAGAATCGCAGCTCAGGAGGGAAATAATGAGAATCCATCCTTATTAAAGGAACATATCTCCATTTACAACTTGGTCTCATAATTCCCTCCTTAAACAGAGAACAGAAAGGCAATGCTTTTACTTTCTCCTTCTAGATTCTCCAGTGAATCCGTACCTCTTCTACCATAACACACTGTGTGGAGGTTTCTGTTCTGACATAGAAATGCTAAAGCCTGGAATTTAAAGCATTTAGGCCCCCCTTTATCCATACTGCCTTTCTTAAACCCCTTATGTAAAGGAAAGCTTTCTCTATATCTGGTTGTTAGTTGTAGGGTTCAACATTTCACGTCTTTCTTTCAGAAAAATCAGGCTGCGTCTTACTCTGAACATGCCTCAATGAAAGGAACTCATCTCAGCGACAAAACCCCAGTAAGTACCTATAGATGATTTATTGTATTAATACTGTATTCTTCTATGTACTTCATACTGCATTTATGATTTGTATATACTGTGTTGCTGCGATACCAGAAAATGATATCCATTTATCTGCTTATAACACAAAATGCTCCACGTTGAGCACGCCGGATGATTTTCTAAGTCATGTATCATAGGAGGCTTCTGTAGGCTTATAGTCTTGTGCATTTTTAAATCCCTCTATACCAATATCAGCCAACAATCACAGCAGATCCTCATCATGTCTCAACCCAAGTATGAAGCAGAACTTAATGTAATCATGTAAAGGAGCTATATCTTATGTTATCATGCTATAATATGAAACATTAAAAAATCTAAACAATATGGTATACTGTCACTGATCCATTAAATCAGTGTGGCTTTTAGCAATTGTTAGCAAATTAGTAATGACATTTGTTTTTTTTTCTAATTGAACCAAACTATTAGAAAGAATGTTTACTGATAAACTTCTTCCTTACGTGGTGTCTTGAGGAAGTTGTGTATTTAATTATGGTCATAGTATTGTTGTCGTTGCTATTGTTAATGTGGTTGGTATTGTTATTTGTTGTTGTTATGAATATTATTGTTTTTTTGTTGTTGCATTGCTGTTTTGTTGGTGTTTTTGTTGTTGTGGTAGTGATTGTTATAGCTGCTATTTTATTTTTTGTTTTTGCTGTTGTTTTTATTATTATTATCATCGTTCTGATTGTTTTTGTTATTTCGTTGTTGTTGTCATTGTTGTCATTTTATGATTGTTATTGTTTGCGTCATTGGTGTTATTGTTATTTTATTTGATGTTTTTTTATTATTGTTGGTTTTATCATTGTTATTTTTTATGTTGTTTTTATCATTGTTATTTTTTATGTTGTTTTTGTCATTGTTGTTTTTATTATTGTTCTTGTTTTACTCGTTGTTGTTGATATTGTTGTTAGTATTGTCGTTTCTATTGTTGTTGCTGTGGTGCTATTATATGTTTTTTTTTTTGTTGCAGGAGATCCACAGCCACATCTTTCCCTGCAGGTCCTCACAGCAACACATCAAACCTCTCCATGTTGAAATTTCCTCCAGAGCTGATTGTCCACAGGTGAGTTTCAGAGCAAAAAATCTGCCAAATATGCAAACCTTCACTCCTTCATTGTGTTTCTCTTGTTCTCACTGTGTGGCCAGGGGCAATATTTTCTACCTCCTTTACGTGGCTGGAGGACTCCTGATGACGGCGACTGCTGGTGGCTGGTGTGTGGACGCTGCTGTGAGAAAAGCCCGAGACCCTGATAACCTGCTGCGACTGTCCAACACACTCATCGGGCTCTTGGGCCTCAGACACCAGAGAAAACATGTAAAGTTCTCTTTTCCTCTTTAGAACACTGAAATATGCACAATTAACTGTTTGCTGCAAATTTAACTTCCAACATAAATGTTTTTTTGATGCATTGTAGCTGAATACTGATCGTGTTCTTGTGTGTTTTTGCAGGTGAACTCTGCAGCAAAACAAAAACTAATAAAGCTCTACTTCACTGAGAGGTCACGCTCATGCACAAACCAAAAAGTACTTTATGGAGGCACATTTCCTGTTTTTTAATAGCTCTCTATGTGTGTTCCAGCCTCAGCGGTCTCCTTGATATGACAAGAGTATCCCTGCGAGACACTTGGGATTTCAAAGTTTTTCGAGTGGCGTCGAAGAAGCAAACAATCGTGGAGTCAACACCGTCTAACTGGATCTCAGCAAAAAGGTAAAACAGCTTCATATTTTAGTTTCCTTAGATGTATTTTAGGCATAGTTTTGCTGTTATTTTCTAGTTTTTGTGTCTGCACCTGTAATCTACACTGTAAAAAACAGATCAAATAAAGATCATATTTTTGATTGAACATAGTCGAAAACTACATTAGTTTCACTTCAGGTAACTGCAGTGTGTGAGAATTTCTTCTGTTCTGTGATCAGGTGCAGGATTTACTACATCCTCCTTTGTGGTGGCAGAGGCCGGCCGATACTGACGCTGTGCATTGAAGGCAGTGGCAGCGAACTGAAAACATACACTTCTTCAAATCAATTAGAATGGTTGGTGAGGTTTACGAGAACGGCACGGGGCGACGTGGTAAGACACGGGGGGAGTTTTACTTTTGAAATGCATTTAAAGGAAACTGCAACGAGTCTGCCTTTGATACAAGACTCTGCTTTTCAGATTTTTCTTTTTCTGAGCGGACAAAGTCGACACATCAGCTCTGGAGCTCACACACCTGAACATTACCCAACAGGCCTTACCCTGGGCTTGTCTGCGCTGTGCGTAGTCCTGCTCTGGAAGTTTCTACCTCATATTGCACTTTGCGCCGTGTTGTGTTTAAGTTGGAGAGTACGGCAACAGATCCGCCGCTGTCATGAATAAAGATTATAAATGTGGCCCACTTTACTGTTTGAGTGGCAGTTGGTCTTTTTTTGAGACTTATTTGGGAGAGTGATGAAGGAACACAGCGGCATGAAATGATTGTCTTGAGAACAATAAATGTTGGATGACTCAGAATGGAGACTCCGCTTTGCTTTCATGACCCAAATATTCGTCTTATGTCGAATTCTATACAATTTTCTGAGTGACAGTCAATGTTGGACTGAGAAAATGCCGATCAAGTCTGACTTTTTTCTTTCTTTCTTTTTGTCGAGAAAACCTCTCAGGCTTGCGTATCTAATTTACTGTAATATTTTTGACCCAACCCTCATGTTTCTACAATTGATCATGAAGGCTGACTTCCAACAAGACCAGAAAACCATTTTACAGCTGGTCTTACTTCACTGCAGTGGCTCCTTTTTAGCCCTAGAAGTAAATGTACCGTTTTATCCCGAAAGGTGGTGCGTATATCTGGACTTCTGCTGCTGTAGCACTGCAGAAAACCTAGTCCAGGCAAGGGCCAAAACTTGCTTGTCCCTTGAACAAGGGCATAATGATCATAGAGCTGCCTCCAGATGCCATAAATTCTCTCTGTCAAACTGTATTTCCAAACAGCAGCTGAAACAAACCTTTATTTACTGAATTTGAATCCAGTCACTTACTCTCTTAAGTGTTTCTGTCCAGTCGATCACAATCATCTTCCTTTTCGCATATTCTCTGCGACAACATTACTTTGAAAGGACAAAACATTGTGCTACAAACCTGTCAAAGTTCTCTGTCAGGTCAAAGGACACCAGTCCATTCTGCTGGTTCCTGACGATGACGTCATCCAGGACGTTCCACTGTTTGTCCCTTGAGCCCAGAACCACCAGCGACTCGTTGGACATCTCCTTCGATTTTACGGAGGCTCCCAAGATTCTGACATTGAAAACACCATGAGTCTCTTGTAGACGTTATAGATCTTTCGGCAAGTAATGCAGAAACAATTGCTGTCTTGTTCAAGTTGCCCTTTACAATTCAACAATTTCATTTGGTTTTTTATCCAAAACAACATACATCTGACAGTAGATACAACACCAGCAAGGATCTAGTCAGTTTACATCCTTGTTTGTTTCCACCACCAGGGAACCACAGAAGAGAAGACTCTAGCTATCGACATAGGGCCCTGTTGTGGTGGTTGTATCAGGCGACTTTTGTTGGTCGAGCGTAGTGAGCGGGAGGGAGTGTAGATCTAAAAGAGTTCAGGTAGGAGGGAGCTGTTCTCATTGCAGTTTTGTGGGCAAGTGTCAGAGTTTTGAATTTGACATGGGCAACTGGAAGTGACCTGAACAACTGTCGTACCTTTATTTTGGTCTATAGAAACCTGGACACAACATAAAGAAGCCACATGTATTTACCTCATTCTAGGGGTAGCTAGATGATCCCAGACTGGAGAAGCAGTGACTGGTTGGTGTTCTTCTGTTTGCCCCCTTGTGTCCTTCTTTTTGTCTGGGTTGGGTGGACATGGAAGCGTGACCGTAAGAGGTCTCCTTAGGGGTTGTGAGGTCGGATGGGTGAGGTAGAGAACGGGGCTGGTGGACACCACCGCACGGTAGGCGTCATTTCTAGACTTGACGGAAGCCAGAAGGACGGCGTCTAGCGGCTGGATCTGAAGAAGAAAAAGGACACGGCTGTTCTGCATGATTAAGGCAGCGGTTTGGACGGAGGAAGCTGTGTGATGCGATGTAGCTCTTTCCAACAATTTAGTTTTACCAACAGCAAGCTGTTTTATCAAAGAGAGCCGTGCAGAGCGAGCGTTGTTTGCATCTGACGTAAGATCAAGCAACAAACTGCTGCGGTGAAGTTGGTTCACAAATGATTGAACTCAGAAGTCAATTCAAATATTGGCCACAGCTGTTCATTTTTCTACCTCACAGAGAACATCTGTGGAAGCTTAACTCTGTGAATTACAAGTAGTTTGTCTGTTTCTACATCCCTTGCTTGCTGTTTGTGGCATTTTTTTCCCTTGCCAAGCCTCTCTTTTAATCAAATTTTTTGGAATACTTTAAATATTTGCAAATTTCTACTTCAAGATTCAGTCCAAAACAGCCCTCAGTTTAAGTGGAAGAAAGATCATCCTCTCATGATTACCATGGTTTGTGCCATTACAGGAGCAGTGAAGGATCCTGGGAGGTAGTTCAGACAGATTCGGGGGTCCATGGGGAGCTTTAGTGACAAACCTCTCCGGAGAACTGTGTAATTTTCTCTTTTTAGACAGGAAACCACTGCAAATAGACCCAAAGAGTACACCTTCACCTCTGCAAACGAGCCCTGACGGAGACACAAATGACACATAAATTAAATATTGGAGTTTTTGCCAAAATAGTCTTAAATAACACAGTCACAGTCTCTAAAATAACACAGATTCTGATAGGAAACAATATTTGCCCTGATGTTTAGTTAGGTCAAGATAAAGCACAATTGCAGCAGTTTTATGGTTATTAATAGTTGTATTGCTTCCATCTTCATTCTTCCATTTATTCATTAAAAAAAAACCAAAAAACTTCTTAATGTAATCTAGTCAACAAACATAATAATTTTAAACATAACTGGGAAATAAATATAGTTCTAGACAAAAGTAACCGGACACATTAATTTGTTGTTGTTGTGTTGATCAGGAGTTGTGTTATGTTCTAAAGATCACAAAAGGTGTCCTGCAAGGCTCTATCTTGGGAGCTATTCCCTTTTTTATCTGTATATTTAGTAACAAAGACGACATTCTGCCAATGAAAACTAATTTCTATGCAGATGATACAGTCCTAAACTTGTCTTAGTAATTTTTAAATATTCCCTTTATTATGGGAAACAACTACAGCAACCTCTGCGTAGCAACCTTCAATCAAAATGTAAAGTTTTCCGAAAGCTTTGTATGAAGCATTTAGCAGCCCTGCTAACGTTCCACCAAAACGATTTCCGCATTACTATTTTGAGTAAACACTGTCGCTGCATTCTGTTTGTAGCTACACCCAAGATGATTGCGACAAACGTTCCTTCCTGACAATATAAGTGATAATAACTAGTAATTAGTGTTAGGCAGTTGTGTGGCTAGAGGTAGTGGCATTACTAGTTGAACTACATTTCTCAGCTTCTGACTCAGTAGCTTTCCATTAGCAAAGCAGTTTTATAGATCAAGTCGTGCAGAAGTGTCCACATTTTCCTGAGAGCATCTGAAGCGACGAGCACCCAAGGCCTCAGATTGTTTTTGGCCTGTTTAACCAGTGAGAGGAGAAATCTGGTTTGGAAACTTAGTCTGAACTGATGTTTGGCAGAACCAGTTTTAAACTTCACAAATTTAAAATCGTATGTAAACAACAACAAAAGACGAAATAAATAAAGCAGCCTCTGATGTAGTTAAACTACTTTTGCCTCATTAGTTTGGAGCATTTCTCTGGTGGTAGCTTCAGTGTAGTGGAGCTTCATGTATTTTAAAGCGGTCTCATTGATCTTAAAGTGAAAGTTGTACATTTTTGTGACTTTTTGTCAAATATAGCATCGTTTTGGCTGTACTGGACATTTACTAATTTATTAACAGACATGCAGCAATTGCTTGCCATTAATTGTAATATGTTGCCAGATAGTAGGCTGCAATGTTTAAAAAAAAAAAAAAAAAAAAAAACTTACAAAGGACTTTAAAATATGTTGGCTTTTCAAAATAAAATGCCGCCTTATGGCCTCCTGTGTTGGACTATCCCAAAAAATTAAATCTCCCTGATGTCTTACCAAACAGTAGTTCTTTCTGTCTCTTTCTCACACACACATTGATGGACAAAAAAAAAATCTGTATGCTTGGGTTCACTTTCAAAATAAGAGTCCAACCCTGTAACAGAGCTAGTGAGCAGCGTTATTGTAGCCTGGATTTAAGGGGAAAAAAAAATCCTAATTCTATAGCCCACAAAACACTGGTATATACAAGGAGTGACTAGGTTTCTGTGAAATTTCAAAGTAAAAGCTCAGGGTTTGTGAAATATGCTGGCTTTTCAAAATAAAATGATACCTTATGGATAACTATAGCAGGGGATCATGAGAATTCCAGCAAAAACAAAACACGCAAATAACTCAGCAATAAAATCAACAAATGGGAAGGAACAGGATTTTATTTATTTATTTTTTTTTTTTAATGAATATTTGTGTGTGATTTGCAGGCCTTACCCTCTGGCCTCCATACAGGCCCTCTGTGGTTACAGGAGTGATGTAGCTCACCCTCCTCTCCTCATCCACTATCTTCACAGCGACGTCCCTGTAGCCGCCGCGGTACCGAGCGTGGAAAGGCACAGCCACAGCGACGGGGAAGCGACAGGCGGCTCCGTCTCGAGCTTTGACCCGGATCACTCTGCTGACCAGCTCCTCCGAGCCGCTCACCATCAGGCAGCTCAGGTCGTCGGCCGCCTCACACCTCAGAGATGTCGCATCACCCGCAGGTGCTCTGATGAAACACGGTACGTCGGAACGGCCCTCCAGCTGACCACAGAGCCTAAAACACAAACATACATCATGACAAAGAGGCCAAGTTTGAAGACTCTATTTTAAAATCAAGCCTCAGATTGCATGTTTTTCTTCCTGCATCAATTATATCACTCCTAATATTAGAAGTCACATTTTTAGCAGCAACATTATCGTCTTCCAGCAACATTTCTGGCAAAAAAAAAGTGCAACCATTTTAGGACTTTCTGCACTTTTCCCTATCAGCTTCTCCCAGACTCACTCTGATGTGAATTTGTTTGGCTTTTTGGACAAACGCTGGCCACTGACCTGACAGCGAACTGTATGAAATAGCCACTTACGTCGAGGCCAAGAGGTCAGAACGCGTGCACTTTGTGATTAAGCGCTGCAGGAGTTTTTGCTTCTGTATGAGGGAGCAGGAGAAATGAGGGGAAGGAATCAAATCATGTCCGGACTCACAAGTCAGGCCTGATGCAGGATAGAGAACAAGATGCTGAATGTCCTTTTTTTTTTTTTAAAGTTGTCAGCAAGTTGCAGAAAGTATTAGCTGCTTTTTTCTTTTTTCTAACCAGTGGAGCATAATGTACGATCTCATGCTGGGCAGAAAACGTGTAAAATGAAGCAGAAGACAATTGATTTTGCTTTAATGCACAGACATAAAACAGAAAATGTAGTTTTATTTATATACTGTGTGTGTAAATGTATATAGTCTCTGATTTGATGGTTTTCCATTTCATGTTTTAAATCTACACACTGAATTTAACAGTTGAAAAAAAAAAGATTGCGAATGAAATCTAATCAAATCACAATTAGATGTGTTCTCAAAGTCATTTAGCCTCAGTTATAGTTAATATTGAACTTGAAAG